AAAGACCAAACAACAAAAAAAAACACGGGTTCCGGGGTTATATTGGGATAACGGAAACTAAATTGGAGACTACTATTTAGGGTTCAGGGCTTAGGGTTTAGGATGCTAACCCTACGCCAGGAAGGAGCTGGACTTAAACCGTAGAAGATTAGGTACTTGAGAAGCAAAATCAGAACTACTCCAAGTAGGGGGCCTTTCTCACATAAAAACGGAATGTGAATTCAACAAAGTGTATGTGTATGCGTTCGAGGAAGACTGTCTTTGGCCGTTTCCCCCCGTCTCCCGCGCGGGAGGAGCTCCGGATCTGCATCCTTACTCGGATAGCATTAAGAGTTTAGGGTTTAGGGTTTTCTCGTTTCCTCATTTGAGCTGTAGTCTCAACTTCTGATTCCCCCCTTAATCCCCTATATACATCCCCTCTAATAGATCTTGACAATAGCTCACCTTTTGTGACGCAAAACTTTGAAGAGTTGAAAAGTATGTTCGATGCCGACCCAGGAATCGCGAGAGCGGGAAGCGTCTCTTGGAGGATCCTTCTGCTCCTGATGCTCCTGAATGAAAAAATACTGGTGATTAGAGGGGAATTAAAGAAATTTAACTCATGACCCATATATAACCCCTATTTAATATATTCCCTCATTCCCTACTGACTTGTAGTTTCCGCATTTTGTCGATCGTCTACAAGAGTTGCCTTGAAAAGCTTGCCGTTGGGGGTTTAGTCTTTAAGGATGTACTTCTAAGCAAAATGCAAAACCTAATCATGTACTGGGACCCTAACTACCTAGTTTTGGAACTCGCCCCCAGTCGCAATTGCGCAGAATTAAGCTTTCGGCGCCGGCGCAGGAGAACTCCGAACAACATTGGTTTGTAAATGGATGCATCCCAAACACATGTGTCGGACAAAGTTTCTCCAAATAGTTCTATGTATCCCTGCGGTGCGTAGGGCACCTCTGTTTTGACAAGCTCCCATATGTACATGGTGCAGGGCAAGCCCCTGCAGCATGACTGGCTATACTTCAGATATGCCTCGAAAACCGCCTGTGTATGTAGGTGTGCATGCATGCATGCATGCAAAGCATCATGCCTCAAACAATGAACCCTAGAGCCTCCGACCCCAAAGCACCATGAAAGCCCCAACTCCTCCAAATTCCGGCCAGGTATGATCTCCAGCCTGTCATTCCACTCCTCAGATCGTTCTTCACCTGCTGAGGAGGTTAAAGGATTTGAGGGTTCAGGGAGTTCTCGCTTGTTGTGGTGTTGAATTGCGTTTGTGCTTTTCACCTCGAGGTTTGGGGCTCTGAGTTGTAGGTTCGGGTCAGCGTCGTGTCTTTTATTCTCGGGCTTCAGAGCTTACAGGATTCGAGCCAAATTCCATGCGGGGTACATCGAGTGCGAGGGTTCGGGGTCAAAGATATTTTCCGGTTTTGCTTTGTTGTTGTGCCCCTAAAGGCCGTAAACCCTAAACCAGTTTGGAGCCTCCGGCTTAGGAGTATAAATGGTATAGCTTAGGAGGACCCCCCACCCTGTAATAGTGACTCTAAGGGATAATAAGGACTATATTAGGGTCCTAATATATTCCTATCATACCACTATTACAGGGTGGGGGGTCCTCCTAAGGTATATCCTTTGAGCTTCATTAAGGGTCGGGGAAGCTCAACTACAAGCGTTTGAAGCTGATCCCTGGCTCCGCAAAAGGCCATTGATCAGGTTTTTGTTGTGGAAGCACGACTCCTGCATGAATTCCGTTGAAGGCCCGCGTGCTTCCCGTATTTCATTGTAGCCACAAACAGAACTGGCAGCTGACAATGGCCCAGTAACACTAACCCCTAAACCCTAAACCCCAAAAACCTTAACGACTAAACCCTAAAACCACTAAAACCCTAAACCCTGTAACCCTATAAACCTACCTAATCCAAAAAAATGACGGGGTACCGGCTAGCCATGGGTTAGAAGAAGCGCAGAATCTGAGTTCGAATTCCCCTTGACCTCGTCCCCATAAAGCGAAAGATATCCTTGTTGCAGCAATTTTAGGATGCCCACACCTCCCAAGGTAAAAAGCGTTCCTTGCAATTTTCAGAGCATTCAGGGAATCCCTAATCTGAACCCGATTGACGTTCCCTGTAGGACAGAACGCAGATCACAAACGCTGCCTTTGTTGGGCGGGGAGTTGGGCTGGATGATGACGCCGGTGATTGCCACACCATCCTGCAAAGGTTTGAACAGTTCAGAGGCTAGGTCCTAGAGTTACACAGTTTAGGGTTGCTGAGGGATTGGGGCTGTAGAAGGTTGCCTAAAAGGGCTGGGAAAGTAGGAGGCTCATGTCAACAGTTATAAGCGATCCCTAAGGGTGCGCCTAGGCTAAGGTTGACTTGGTGGTTTCTGAAACAGGAAGACACAATTTAGACCCCCAAGTACCATAATACCTTTTATGGGGACCCGCAAAAAAAGCATTCCTAATCTGAGGAAACCCCACTTGGGTCTCCATGGTGCTCTGGTATACAGGAAGCCAAAGCTATTCAACCCCCCAGTAAAGGGCCCAGGGGTCCCGGCCTGCTTCAGTCATTCGGTTTGAGGTTGAGGGCTAACCCCAAACCAAAAATCCTATTTAGGCTTTGAGGTTTAGGGAGTCGATGCTGCATCCATGTAAGCTATAGTCTAAACTCCTAATATCCCCCTGAATAACGCCTGTAGTGCTCCCCTATGTAATCCCCTCTCGAACCCCCTCTAAGGAGTTCAGGCTACAGCTCATGTGGCATGTATCGGGAGCTTTGACTTGGGCCTAATCTCCTCCCCTAATATTAAACCCCCCACCCCAACCAATATTAGATACTCCCAATATGTTATAAGATACCACAATGGGGAATATTTGATATGAGCCATAATCTAAACCCCTAGCATCCCCCTTAATGAGCCCCATAGTAGTCCCCTGTATAACCCTTTTAAGGAGTTTAGATTATAGCCCATATTAGGGGGTCCGGGGGCTTAATATTACGGGCCGTGGATTATTTGGAGCAAAGGGCCCCCGAGCTGCTCTCGGACTGCCAAACTGCAGCGGTTTGCCTGATTTGCTGCCCTCTGAACCCTAAACCCCATTGGATAATATAAAAGAACATGGAAACTGCTATTTAGGGTTTAGGGTTGCCGATGAAGTAGATAGAATCCAGTTTAGGGTTTAAGCTTAAGGCTTCAGGGTTGTCAATCCCCCCCGGGGATTACCTTCTGAGAGCCCGATTCCTAACCTACTTTCATTATCTCCCTAAGCCCTACACCCTAAACCGCCCCCTAAACCCTAAACCCCAAAGCATAAACCTTAGACCCAGCGTCGCTGCTGACTACGATCTGGCCACCCCCTCTCTCGCGGTACTTTTTTCCTCAGCTGCTGAGATATTCAGGGGTTGAGTTTGGGCTTCTCATAGTTTAGGGTTCAGAGTTTAGGGTTCCCAGATTTAGGGGTATTATGGAATTATAGGATATAGGAGGCCGAAGAAAAGATAATCATTCGAAAAGAACATGGAACATGAAATGGGCACTGGGAGTATATAGGGGTCTAAACAGATTAGGGCTTCCACAATTAGGGGTACCTTTTTGGGGGTCCCCATACTTTAGTCATGGTTCATTGGGTTCCCTATTTTGGGAAGCTACCATCTTGGGGTGTAGTTAGGGAGTTGGGGCTTGCTGCGCTCGGCCAAGTTACTTGCCTGCCCAGTTTCATTCGTTCCCCAACATCCCGGACAAAAACGCCTAAACCCTAAGACCTAAACAATAACCCCTACATTTCGCCCAGCTTCTCTTGGCAGGGTCATACTTGACCTCCATAATGGCTCGGTGGAACCTGGGTTCATCTGCAGGCACAGGATTGTTTAGGAGATATCAAGGTCTTTGCAAGATAGGACGCAGTTCTACATTGAAGGTTCCGAAAGCTTGAGGGAAAAATGTTGAAAGAAAACCTGTCCTGTGTCTGGCACCCTTTTCCTTAAACCGTAACCAAGCTCAAAGCCTAAAGTCTTAAACTTACGGCAGCGAGCCCAAATCCAGGGGACTGAAGTCATAAGAGTGGTGGTTTTTTTGATGGTTGAATCCAGTAGGATTACTTGTATTCCTTGTATAAATCAGCTAATATACCTAAAAGGAGGATATAATCATACTCTATATTGGGTACCATCATCTCCCCAAATAGAATACTATAGAATACTACTCATGAGGCCCTGAATCGAAGAAAATCGAGCCGGGCCGCACACCGTCGTTGAAGACGTTCTGCGCTCGTGCGTACCAGTTGGCGGTATACAGATTTTGCGTCACGTACAGCCTTGGCACGGAATTAACTGTGCGGTTGCTGTTGGGGAACTGAAATTAAGTGGCTATGAGGAACCCCTATTGTTTACTATATACCGAAACTATTGTTACTGAAATTCAGCTCCGTAATTGCAACCCAGTTTGAGGCAATGTCTCTTTCTCCATCTTGGTTGGTTGATGCCTTCGTGCGCCTTTTTTCCAGAAAGGGACTGTAATCAAAGCCCCATCCCACGCTTGTTACTCTTAATCCCGCTTGATGTGCACTCATAAGAGACCAGGACAGGCGCAGTTTGACTCAAATTTCATGAAGTGCAGCCACATTCTCCACAAGCGATTATCTGCCGTGGTGTCTGAACAACTCTACACCCATGTTAAGAGTTTCTGAGAATAAGGGTCCAGCAGCCAGCATGTCTTTGGAACCCCGGCATTGTGGGCGTACCTGATGGCGAACCCTCAAACCCAATTGCAAAGTCCTAGAGACCCTCTCCAAGCCTTTAACCCTCGATCCAAGCCCCTCACTTCTAAATCCCAAGCTTCCATCCTAATGTACAAACTTCGAAGCCTCAAACCTCACAACTACTGTGAAGGATTGAAAGATTACCAGTATCACGTCGAGGTCTACTTGACGTAGACTGCAACGTCAGATTAGGGTTTATGGTTTAGCGGTTACTGTGCAGAAAATCTGGGACCATAACATTCAGAGCAAAAATCGGGATTCTCCATAACAAAATTCCCATAAACACCCATATAGCCCCCGTTTCCATGTCATGCTCCATCTTATTGGCCGTTTGCTTCTCCATTCTTGAGTATAACGCGCATAATACCTAGAATAAAACCCTGTATAAATTGGACCCACATATACATCCCCATGTGACAGGCACCGCGTTACCAAGCAACAAAACTTGCTAGTAAAGGATCGGAGGAGCCCTGACAGCCAGAACTCGTGACCTCTTCTTGGGGTTTCGAGTTAAGGTTTTGGACTTAAGGTTAGGAATCGGGTTTAGAATTTGGGGTGGCTTGGGACTTTGTTCAGGCTTCAAGAACGTCGGCCTCTGAATCCCCTTCAAGTAGGTAGGCAGACTGCAGGGAACGTCGGAAGTCCACGAAGGTACTTGGTAGATACTTGGGGCCCAAGCACTTTGCATTTGGGCCAGCTGAAGGGTTTAGCGTCTTTGCGGCTTCGATGGACCGGGGCTAGGAATTCCGGGGCTTGGCGGTTTTTGGCCGTCTTGAGTCAAAGGTTTCAGGGTCGTACCCTTGCCTTTTAGGATCCTTTTGGAATGTTATGGGTTTAGGATTTAGGGTTTATAGGGTTTAGGGTTCAGGAACCTAAATGGAGCAACAATGGGAACCTTCTAGGAAAGGACATTAGAGGTACTAAACCCTAAACACTCAACCCTTGGAACCCGCAACTTAGTGCTTGCGAGGCCAGTCGACTGAGCCTACGCCGAATTATATTCATCCGTGGCCTGCTCTACAACCTTTCCGGATTGTGACTATCTGCTGTCTGGGCCGCTGTTAAGGAACTTGGCTTAAGTTACTATACTGGGGGAACCACATTACTATATATGATGGTAACTTAATGAAAATTCCTTAACAGCAACTCAGCTGTTGATCCCTATGGTCTTCGTTGACCTACAATAAGAAGTATTTCTGATAATTCCTTACATACATCCTAAGGAGACTGCAGATCCACCATCATTACCTTTTTGCACATGGTCTGCTTAACGCCGACCAACCTTCCGAAAGGCCTTAAGAAGTGGGGGAAAGTACATGGTTTTCGCGTATTTGGACACTTTGGGCAAGCCAGCACTAAAGGCCGCATCTTGACAATAAACCTTACCCAAAAGCTTATACGTAATTCCTGAGGGTAGTATACAATATGACCCCCTACCAAAAAAGGAACAAGCCAAGAAGGAACTACAATAGGAGCACCAGTATGGAACGCGCAGAGTCTAAAACAAACACACCGGATGAGACGTGAATCGGACCGCCTGTGAGGTATGATTTGTGGAGGAAGTCTTGTTGAATAAGAGACTTTTGGCAACATCCCTTGCAATAAGAACACTGTGACTATCCTATGACTCCGATAAGTTCGTTAGAATGCTAAATCCTCCTTTTCAGTCCTGATCGAGTTATGCACAATGTTGGGCGCACGCGCCTGCGCTCTCATCTGTAGACTCGAGCAAAACACCGTGGTGCAGAATGCCTGACCGCCAGGGAGTCACGTAAAACCTGAATGAGGGAATACGCTTCAAAAATAGGAGGGTGTTTTTCAGGAATTGTTCATGATTCTTACTGTAAGGCCCGTCCACCATCTTCCCTATGTAGCTGATATCGCCTTCCCTCCCCGGAGACCACGCATAAAGATCCCAACGCTCAAGCCCAAATCCCTATCCCTAGGGCCTGACACCGAAACCCTAAACTCCTATATGCCCAAGCCCTTAATAGTAGCTTCCATGTTCTCTTCCATGATTCCTATATCACCCCTATATAACCCTTGAAAAGGTTTTTATATGTCCAAGCCCCAACATATCTAAACTTCGACCGAATGTTTCGTAAAAAGCGTGTCCAGGCGGCTCTTTCTGAAATTCAGGGTAATGGTGCTGGAAACTACTATACTTTATTGGGGTTATACAGGAATTGAATAGTGGAAAAGAGAATGGAAACTACTATTTAGGGTTTAGGGTTTAGGGGTTAATGTAGACCCCTGATTAACGAGCCCCCTCCTTTTAAGGGCCTTGTAATATTAGCATCCCTATTATAATCCTTCTTAAGGGGAGGGGGGTTTATTAATCAGGGGTCTCGGTTACCCGTCTAGGGATCCTACAAACACATAGGACTTGTTGGGCTGCCTGTTGAGGATCATGTATATAGATGTAAAACTGTTTGCGCATACGTATGCATGGTCTTACGCTAACTTGATCAAGCCCGTTTAGTTGTAGACCATATATGCGGCTTTCCGAAAATTAGAGGTACTCTTGTAGGGGGCCCCATAATGAGGCTATAGTGTTTGGGTGTCCCCCTATTTCCATATGCACAAAACAAAAAAGTTTTCTGGACACGTGGTGAGAGGCTGCGTAGTCCGTAAAACCAGGTGCCATGATAGGCAGTCGCCCAGTGACCGTCAGGCCGCATTTGCGCGTTCTCGGGAAAGCATGGGGGCGTGTACCGGTAGTACCTTACGTGCCCACCCGCAACCATCACGACAAAAGTGCGCGACAGACTTCGTGCAGGCTGATGATTAACTTTAATTAAACGGTTAATTACGTTGCAACGAACATGGGCATAGCGTAGAATATGCTCAGGGTCATAGCAACTTACTGTAAGCTCCTGAACCGCAACCAAAAAAACAAAGCCTCTTCGGACTCCATACCTGCGATACTTCATTAACGTAAGAAGCATCATACCCATGAAAGTTGGATATCCAGATGTGACCCTGGCGGCCTTTCAGGACAACAAGTGTGAAGGACACAAGGGACAATGCTCAACATTAGTACACACCGAGAAGAGGCGGAACCAAGACCGCCAGCATATCAGCACTACCACTGGCCGCAGTGAACGCGAGGAGCAAAAGAAGACAAACAGTAGCGCCATAGTTCCCGCCATTCAGAGGTGGCTTTCGTTACGGAAGTTAGGGGTTCCCTCGTTTTACGGACATCTGAAGCCATACCTGTGCTCGCCGCTAGTGAACCTTTGGCTGCCCACAAGAATCATTTCTTGGTGTTGCTTGGCACATGTGAGGAAGCACGACTCAAGCTCACAAGAACCTAAACCCCAAAGGGGACCTGGAAGACAGGAAGTCAGCAGCAGCATCTATGGCACAATGAGACCATCAGACAAACTCGCCACAAGCCTGAATCTTATTGGGGCTTCGTAGGGAATAAGGGAACATTCGATATTCTATACAGAAGAACCTGGTAATTCTTTCCATATTGCCAAACTCGAAGGCATTGCGCCCTAAAGGAAACATCACATTCCTCAACCTAGATCCAAACCTCAAACTCCAAAAAGGCGCTTTTCACTCATAGGACATGGAGTCATGGACCCCTGCAGTAGCGCGCAGCATCCAAAACGTGTCCCAATATTCCCTTCCGTCCCCAAAGGGTCCAAAGTACCTATATGGTACAAAGTATGGTTTCTGTAGTAGTAATTTCCCTTAGGGTTTGGGTAAGTATTCCCCATATGGGTACTTGGGACCCTTTGGGGTCATTCCCTCATCAACTGCCGGTAGGCGCGCTCCGGGCGACCACAAGAGGATTTTGGTTACCCCAACCCACAAAATTAGAACAATGCCGTTAACATATCTATAACAGGGTCCTAACCTTGGGGGTTGGGGTAACCAAAATCCCCTAAAACCCTAAATTTGGGCTTTTAAGGTTTAGGGTTAGGGTCCCTAAATCAACTCAGAGAACAAGGTGCAGGAAGGCTCTGGGAGGCTTACCATCAGATGAGGGTGGATCTCGCCCTTGATCTCTCTGTAGGCAATCTCCCAGCTGGCCTTAGGGCTTAGGGTAGGCTTGGAGGCCTTGTAAAATTGTTGTTTTACGGCTTTGTAAGGGTTATGTACGGATTCAGGGTCATAAAGACTACAAACAACTTTCAGACCTACCCCTATTACGGTTTAGGGTTTAGGTAATCTCCCGGCCCACCTTGTGGATTCTCGACATCAGCTATACTCCCGTCAGAGGGTAGGAAAACCTAGAATGAATGCTTTGGTATCCTGACCAGTAGTCCTAAGAGCCCAAACGATTAAGCATTGCCACAGAACAGCGTATTCAAGTTTGAGGCTGGAGGCTTAGAGTTTGAGGTTTGGGGCTATAGTCCCCCGGAAGTAGATAGAATATGGCTGCGGGTCTATTATAATAAGATCCCCATATACCCCATATTCTATCTACTTAAGGGGGACTATGGGGGTTTATGGCCGCCAGGAATGGAAGTCCCCAGATTTGGATGTTGGATGAGCTTGATGTAAACTCAGCAGGAGCTCGCCCTCAAGAGTTTTGGGCTTTGATTTTAGCAGCTTAGTAGTAGCAGTAGGAGTTGCAGTGATACTAAGTCCTAGAATAATTGCCTATCTGGACAGCCAGTCCAAGTGGGGGGCCAGTCCCACTCTTAACGTATACCTGAGATCCGTGGGGGCCTCACCAATGAGATTACGGGGTGCATCATAGGGGGGCATTTTTCCATCAGGCTTCCATGGGACATTCTTCTGAACTCTTCAGGCTTCTACACTAAATACACGTTGCTTCAAACTTGGGTGACAACTGGGTTGTAAGTTAACCCTAAGCCCTAAACCCTGTAAGTATGATGGGCTTCTGAAGCTTGACGCCTCGCCAGCCCGAAGCCTAACCACGATACGAGGCCTAGTCTAAACTCCGTAAAACGGGGCTATAGAAGGGATCATATAGGGGGCTTCTATGGGGTTTACTAAGGTGGATACTAGGAGTTTAGACTATAGCTCATGCCTTGGCCTCAGACCTAGGTTTGGCGCCTGAGGTAGGTGGAAAGGCACAATGGCTATGGCCACGCATCCCCCCATGTTCCCTTCAATGCACGTATCTTCGCCATACTTGCCCTCACCCTTAACCGGAGATTCAGCCAAGTCTCGCTGCTCAAGCCACCGCTGAAACTTGAGTACGAAGACTTTTTTGCCTCACTGGTTGAGGGGCTAAGGTTTGGGGGTTCAGGTGTTTAGGGCTTAAGGCTTCTGGGCTGGTCACCTCGCAAAACTCATACGGAACCACAAAAGGGGTCTTGCAAAAACCACCAGGCTTTTCAAGGAGGCGATGTGGGGATCCATACCTGCCTGGGAAGAAAGAGGCTCTCAGGACATCTGCCTGGTTGTGCGCAGCGAAGCATTACGCGCAATGGAAACTCACATGAGCCATAGTCTAAACTCCTTAAAGGGGGGCTATATAAGGGATTATATAGGAACTACTATAGGGGTTATTAAGGGGGATACTAGGAGTTTAGACTATAGCTCACATAGGACTGCCAAGGATGGGAAAATTAGCAGAAGTGTCCAGAGAAACACTATGTAAGCCATAAGCCTCAGAGCACCCGAAAGCACCAAACTCCAGTCATAAAATCAGAAGAATTCAACACCAAAAAGCCTAAAACCAACAAGCCCGAAATCAAAAGTGATACGTTACTACAAAAGCCTAAAACCAACATATACCAGCAATCCCCAAAATTCCAGAAACAACAACGTCAATCCTACATCGCCAAAAGGATAGCTACATCTGTTGTAAAACCCGGAAGCCCACAACCAAACATGTTCTGAAACTTAAAAAAACTGTAGCATGCCCATGGCATAGCCGCCTTCGTCTTCATCAAGGTAGACAATCCTCAGATAGGACCTAATCTTATAAAGGGCTTACAGGGGTTGGGGTTGATAGGGAATAGGACTTATAAGGTATAGGGTTTAAGGGCTCGTAAAGCAAGCGTTTATAGTTGGTACAAATCCTCCCAACGGCATTTTACGTCTAGCGTTTGTAGGTTGAGAATTACAGCTAAAGGCTTCGCACATAATGGCAGTATGCGGGTATTCTTGGGCAGCAAAGGAATGATGATGGTGATGATGATAATTAATGATGATCTAGGGATCTTGTAGCACTTTGCCCTAACCCGACAAGGGTGTCCTGTAGTCCTTTATAGAAAAAAAGCCGTTGTGAGGTGGTTTCATGCTAGTTTGGGTGAGGGTGCACTTTGGGATGACGAGCCATCATGCGCGTATAAAGCCTAAATTGGCCCGCAATTGACCCTTCGTCTACCGCCCAGGACCTTGGCTAACATGAGTTCAGCTGTGTGCTTCTTAAACCCTGCAGAATCCAACCGTCCTCTATACTGGAGCATGTTCTTCATCGATGCTGCGACCTTCCTTGTGCAAACTACAATGAACCACCACAGCCATCAACTCATCCGTATGCAACGCCGGCGTGTTCCCTGAACAACTCTTGCTGAAACCCTAAACCCTGAACCCAAAAACTTGCAAGTGCGCATCCGAGACTCTTAGCAGCCGTACCGCCTTGTGCCCCAATGTCCAACCAACCCGGGTTTCCAAAATCCAATGGAACACTATTGAACTTATTGGGGGTAATTAATGGAAAAGAACATGGAAGCTACCATAGTATATTGGGGCTGTATAGGGATAATGGGGAAGAAAATGGAAACTACTATAATGGGGCTACTCTGTTATCCAAACTCATTCAACCCCTCTGAATGGCTAAATCCAGATGCCGAAGCAGTCATGGGTGTACGTTAGTAGAGGGACATGTGGCTTGAGCAGGCCCGAATATCCAGTGTCGGATGCACACCTGAAGCACTGAGCCCTGAGCCTCAACACGAAATCTGGTGCCCAGAGTCTGCTCTATCTCCTTCTTCCGCTTTTTCCACCCAAGCTCGCGCCAGTTTCCGACCAGAGCCTGAGTGGCACCCTCCCTAGGGCTTAGGGTTTAGAGCTTAAGGACTTAGGGGAATCAGGATTTCCAGGACCGGGGTATAAAGGCAGATGCAGTCTACACGGTCTGCGTTGCAAGCTACCTACGCATGGAACCTGAAAACGAAAGCTCCAAAAGTCCCGTGTTCGCATAAAGAACTTCTGTGTTGTATCCCAAATGCTGTTCGCCACCTTGATGGGCGGCGCGCACTCCACAAAAAACGGTGAAAAACTCTTGAGAACCCCGCACACCCTTCATCTTGAAATAGGCCCCCATGCAACCTTCGCCCTGTCAGTTAAGTTTATCTTGTGGTTGTCCTTACCACCCCAGCACTACCACCCCTGGAGGTGCCCCCTGAATGAACCTTAGCTAACCTAAAAGAACGAAACTCTTAGGCAACCTGGCCGGAGTAGTGCAGGGTGCGTATGATCAAACCCTAAACCCTCAGCTCTGAAGCCCTCAACGCTAAAACCCTAACACGCTAAACCCCAAAATCCAAAGCCCAAATTCGCTAAACATTAACATTGAAACCCTGGCCAGAAACTTTCCTTCAGTTAGGTGATGTTAGGTGGGTTGTTCTCAAACATATGGGCCCCTTTTGGTTATGGATTATAGTACGGCAACTAATATGTAGGGGTACCAAAATGGGACGCTAATTTTGGGAACTACCCATGTAAACCTTTCCCCTTCTCTGCAAGCGGCTGCTCTACTCTCCTCGGCACAGCGGACCTAAGGGGATTTGAAGGCCGGGTATAGGGTTTCAGAAGAGAAGTATAGACCGTTGTAGAGGGCTCAGGGGTGTAGGGTTTGAAAGTTTAGAGTTTAAGGTTTGGTTTGAGGGTTCAAGTTTTGAGGGTTTGGCAATTCGAGGCTTCAGGGTTGAGTGTTTAAGGTCGCCGGGTTTGGGAGCATGGGTTTCTGGCTTTTAGGGCTTAGGGTTTTAGGCTTGCAGGACTTGGGATTATAGAGGCTGTAAGGTTGATGGGTTAAGGACTTCATGATTTTGGGGTGATGGGGTTTAAGAGTTTCAGCGCTGAGGCCGTCTCATTAAAGCTTTAAGTCTTACAGTAGCTTACAGTGTCGTACCGCTACGATGGCTTGGGTTCCGGATTCACTTATTGTTCAAGGTGCTTTCCCACCTTCGTATTTTTCTCCAAGTCAACTGGCTTTCTCGTTATTCCAAAAAGTTGATACCCGGAGAAAGCAAGCATGTGCGTTTTGTGGGACATTCGACATTTGAGTTTGCCAACACCAGCTAGCCTTCTCGTTTTTTGGTTTGTTTGAGAAAGCGAGCAAAAATTGAGAGAGCGAGTAAAAGCAGTTGAATGCACGAAAGGACCTTTGATATTGGAGATAATGGGAAAGAACATGGAAGCTACTACAATACACTGGGGCTATATAGGGGTAGTGGCTACTCAGTTATCATACTTAATCTAGACCTACAACAAGTATGTTATTTCGATAGTTCCTTAGGATTATACTATTATCTTCTAACAAAAGCTGCAAATGAATCCTGAGGAAACCACGCTTAGGGCAAAGAACTACAAGCACGGGTCATTTGGGATTGTTTTGGGCCTTGTTCGAGGACAGGCAAGGTGCATGAAAGCGCCGGGCTTCCTAAAAGCAATGCTCCCCTACAAAAACATGGAACTTGTTAGAGCGTGCTTGCGCGAGGGTATGCCTGAAGGAAGTAAGACTCAAATCAAGAGACCTGACACTAGGGGCCTGAGTAATGGAACAAATCCTTGAAGCAAGTCATACAAGAACTCCATGTAATGGTTGTAGAGGTGCTACAGGTGATAGAGGATGGCTTATCCTCACATGAAACCCGAAACCAGTTAACCCTGCGCCCCAAGCCCTTAACCTTAACTCTTACCTGTAAAAGCAATGATTTCAGCTAAATCAAGTAGTAATTGCCCGCCAAGTAGCTGGTATACGTTGTGAAGCTGTGGGTAGTTGGGGTTACCCTTTACCCTGTACACCCCCACAATCCATTTATAAAGGAGCCCCATGGGATCCTTATGAAAAGCCCTTGATTAACCGTAAACCCGACCCATAAGTTCTGATAACCCCTTCAGGGAGACCTCACATAATCCTCTTGGGAGCCTTTGAACCCTTGCCACCGTAAACCCTAAACCCTTAAGCCAACCAAAAAAACGAGCGACGGCGCGGGCGAAGCGATTCCGGTCGAACTGGTACTTATCCTTGTCGGGATCACGCCTCTCTCAGCGTGGTGGGTGTTGGGAGGTTACATGTTTGGGGGTGTTGCCTGGGTCTGGGCGTCTGTCCTACCTTTTCTTAGGGTCCACTCCACGAAACTGTAGGGCAAAACCCGATAGGCTTTAGGGTGGAAGGGCACACTGCAGTCTGCACCCCAAAAACGACACAACCTGAACCCAAAAGCCTAAGCAATGATAAGAACCTCCCGCCATCTCCGCAAAACCTAAGACCATCTAACTCTAAACCCTCAATGCCTAAATCCCAAACCCGATATAACCCCTATATAACCCCACTAGAACCCCAACATAACCCCTCTACAACCCCTATAGGAGCCCTATATCCTGACTAGACCCAGCGGCAAGAGGAGGTCTTCTGGCTCATCACTCCAGATCCTCCGGAGCCACATCGGGGTTTCCTAAAGCTACGGGTTTAGGGTTTCGGGTGGATATGAGGGTTATATTGGGGTCCCCAAGTAAGGGAAACTACCACATGGGGATCCGCGGGCAATAATCTGCAAAGCGCGGACTCAACCCTGAATCCTCTTCGCACCTTGCCCCATACTATGAGACTATAATGGGTTGTACAGTGTGCGGGTGTTGCATATGAACCAGATCTCTCGAAACACCGACCCATGGACCAGCAGAAGCACTTTCTGTATGTAGACCTTGTGATCAGCAACCCCTAACGATAGACTGCCAGTGCACGGGGGCCGAATCTAACATGCAACCACCATGAAATGCCAGTATCAGGATGATCATGTAGCCACTTGGGTTTCAAGTCTTCCGTAAGTAGATAGAATATGGAACTCCCCAAAACCATAATAAGGTCCCCACATACCTCATTCTATCTACATCTGGGGGACTTGAGGGTGCGAGGGTCGCTACGTAGTACCTTTCTCTCGCACCGTCATGCCTCAGGTCGGGCTCCGACGCAGTAATGGTGACCGAAGGGGACTGTGGTAATTAAGCTACCGTCTCTACATATGTATGCCTATAAAACCACGGCTACTGTAGTCCATGTATAGCTTACATAGCTGAATTATGAACTTGCTGGCCACGCTCCAAAGCCCAAACATGGACCCTCGTCCCTGAGCCCAAAAGTCACACTTGATCATCTCTATGAATCCTAGGTTTAGGGTTTAGGGTTTAGGGTATCATCTCTATGAATCCTACGGGTTTAGGCTTTAAGGCTCGGAGTTTAAGGTGTAGGCTTGGGCGTGTCTCTTTAAGACGCCGTAGCCAAAGACTTTTGCAAAGGCAAGGTTTACGGTTTAGGATCTAAACCCTGAGCCGTACCCTCAGCATTTCCTGGGCAAAAGCCAGGCAAGCCATAAACCCTAAAGCCTAAACCCTATTCTTTCATGGACTCCCAAGGTTCTAGGGATACCTACCTTTTGATCAGGGATGATATAACCCTATGTCACCTCGACGGGGTATATAGAGATATAAGAGGTTATAAGAGATGTGCTGGCTGCGCGGCTACTGATGATATCGAAGCGGTTGGAAGCAGAAAAGTTTCCGCGAACAACCTCTGCACCTCATAAACGCAAACCTAAACCCCAAACCCTGAACCAAAAGCTCCTGAGCCTGAATCCCTAAACCCTAAAACCCAATCCTAAGAGCAAGACCCTGAACCACCACTCATGAACCCTAGGCCCGAAATCCACAAACAACACCGAAAAAGCATCTTAAAGCACCACAAAGCCGTGAAATCCTGAAAGCTCTACAGCCCTAAAACCGTAAAACTTGGGTCCTGCCCACCCATTAACAGTCTATAGTAAGAGTCATGTTAAGGGCTATATATTATTATAATAGGAAAATTATCCAACTGTTAATGAGTGGGGGCAGTACCCAACGTAAAACCCTCACCCCTGAGCCCCTAAACACCCTGCCTTTGAACTTTTTGCTCAGGCTGCTGCTGAGCCTTGGAGCTACTGGCCTTCCTGATCCCAGCCAAGGTTAGGTTTAGGGCTTAGGATCTATAGGTTTTAGGGTTAAGGGTTCAGGGTCAAGGGTTAAGGATCTACAGGGCTTAGGGTTAACGGTTCAGGGTTAAGGGTTTAGGATCTACAGGGTTTAGGGTTTTAAAGGTTTAGGGTTCAGGGTTTAGGGTTAAGGGTTTAGGATTTTTTCACGTAAAGGGACCCCAAAATAGTGACTGTGGGTCGTATAACTGCTAAACACTTTTAGATCCCATTTGGAAGCTGGGACCCTAAGCCTCTTTTTTTGCCCGTTACAAAAAAGGGTTTAGGGTCCCGGGTTTCCAGTGGGATCTAAAAGTGTTTACTAGTTATATGACTCACAGTCACGATTTCCCATATGTATATATATATACATACATATATACACACACATAACCCTGCGCTCCTTTACAGGAGTATGTAGTGATAATACCCTAATGATGCAGCCGGAAAAAGGCAATGGAACATGAACTGGAATCTGGGATTGTGTAGGGGATTATAGGGATGAGTTCTTACCTGCAATTCATGGAGATGGGTTCCTATTAGAGAATACATTAAGGACTTTGCTTTAAACTACCCCCACAGGGACTCGCATGTCCACCCTTGAATGTTCGCTGGGGAAGCTGGATATTGCCAGTATCTCATATGGTGACGGCTTTAGGGCCTTGGATTTCCGTACTCATGGGTGAGCGCGGAATGAAGGAACGCGGCACCTTTGCCAGGAAGGGACCAATTCTTCTAGACCCCCTAGAATGTGGCGGATTACAGAAGGATTACATAGGACATACGGGACATTCTGGGTGGATGTCCCTTAAATCTTTCAGTTGCTACATTCCTCAAGCTAGACGATTATACCCGTGGTAATTCCAAAGTCGGAGTCCCTTTTCAAACATCCCCGAAGTACTGTACTCCTTATTAAGGCGACCCCCAAAAATGCGTCCCTAATCTCGGAAACCCGTCGGGCTATTTGGCCAATGTTAGACGAGCTATAGTCTAAACACATAGTATCCCTCTCAATGACCCCTACAGTAGTCCCCTATATAATCCCAGCTACAGTCTAAACGCATAGTATCCCCCTCAAAGACCCTTACAGTAGTCCCCCATATAATCCCCCATACAACCACCTTTGCAGGAGTTTAGACTATTGCTCAAATGATGTCAACTGCAGTTCCTAGCTGGTAATCTTAGGAAGTCATGCATCGAGAACCGTTTACAATGCAGTCCTACTTGTCACCAACGGCCCCTGGGCTCTGCAAACCAGTGATACTAGCACGCCACATCACTACGCGGTGCGTTTTTCTGAGAAATTAGGATTTCATGCGGCACTTGATCCAGGTGACCAGTAAAAGACATGAGTTGGTGCATTTGCCAGTTAACCCTTGGGTCGACGAATTACAGAGGCAAAGCCACTTGTAGGAAAACAAGGGCCGGTTTGAGAACCTGCGCTTAACTCTAAACCCGAAGGTTTCATCAGGGAGCTCAGTAGGAGAGGAAAGATTACTCTGCACAGTCAAGCCGAAACACCTGCCAGGCCTTGTCCTGACAACCCTACACGCCTACATTTGAAGCCCTAAATAATCAACATGAGGATTACATAGGGGTTATACTGGGGTTAGATTGGGATTTTATCCCCGAATAATGGAAAATAAAATGGAACATGCAATGGAAACTGGGATTATATGAGGATTCTAGGGGTTATAGTCTAAACTCCTAGTATCCCAGCATCCCCCTTAGTCAACCTAAATAAGTAGTCCCCTATACAAAATCCCCTATGTAACCCCCCTTGGTACACATGGCATCCTATGCCCTAAACCCTAAACCCCAAACCCTAAACCCTAGTGTTGCCGCGTCGCCTCTTCTTCTTCGCCTTCCGCGGAGCAGTTTCAGCCACTGGCGGTGGTGGCGCCGGCGGTGGTGGGGTTGGTGGCGGCGGAGCAGCGACTCGTGGGCGCCTGAGTTGCCTCCCGAAGACGTACCTGCGTCTTCATAGCAGAAGCAGTAGCAGAGGTGCTGCTAGCAAAAGAAGAGCAACAATGAAGGCTCACGGGGCAGGACTGGAAGAGGAGCTTGGGATCAAAATGCCAATTCAATCAAATTCTAAAGGTGGAGGACTCTCCAAAACACGGTTTGAGGGCCTTGGGGACGCCCACCGCAACGGTTTGGTGACATCTTGCTTGAAGGGTTGCGAAAGCTTTGGCAGTGTGAGTTTCAGGCAATGGCTGTGGTTGGATTTTTGGCCAAATTCTTCAGTTTTATGCCGAGTCCGGGTGAGGATGGTAAGTTCCAAATACAGGCAACCAAAGGCGGTTGCAGAGTGCATGGAGGGGCAGAGGGGCAGAGTAGGTAGGTGTTTTACGTCAAATCAGCGTCATCTATAACAGTAATTTGAGGAGACTATAGGATGTTACCTGCTTACAACTGGGGCCTTTCCCTACCTTGGGGGGTTTGGGGAGTTCAAATTTGGAGCCCTAAACCCCAAACCGTGGCTCTTGAGGAGCTTGAGTTGCTGTACAATCCTCAAGAAACCTCATCATCCATGAATTGTAGTCCCCCTTATGCAGATAGAATAGGGCTTAGGGTTTAGGGTTTAGGGTTTAGGGTTTAGGGCTAAAGTCCCCCTTTAAGCAGATAGAATATGGGGTATGTGGGACCTTATTGTAGTTTACCCAAAAACCATATTCTATCTACTTAAGGGGAACTATAACTAGATAATACAAACCGAGCTTAAACGGTTCAACCTAAGCCTGTACTATAGAATCACGACTCACACCCAAACCCTAACATACACAAGTGGCAGCTTGCTGCCTTACAGGCTGTTCAAAATCTAGCCTAGCCTTACAGAGCAGAGATATACTAATAGATTGCCAGGGATACATAGTGACAAAGCGGGGCTAGGACAAAGGCTTGGGATCAATTACAAGGACCCTTAGACATAGTAGTGTCCATGTTCTTTTCCATTATCCCTAGACATATTTGGAAGTTTGAATTGTCTTTTCCGCTATCCATATTATGATCCCCAATGTACTACTATCATCAAGTTGAACTTGTTCAAGAGACCAGCTTGCTGAAGGCATGTTTCCTAAATTACATGCTCTATAATGCCTACTACTGACATTTCACAGGGGCAAAAACAGGAACCCAACTAAAGTGACCCGTATTACAGTTAATGTAAGGAAGTCAGAATCTGTTGAGAGATGTTCCTTGCTACCCTAAACCCTAGACCCTAAGGTCCCTAAGCCGTAGACTTGAAACCCGAAACCCAAGATGGTAGCTTCCCCAAAGGGTCCAAGGACCCAAATAATAAGGTTTTAGGGCCCAAATACTATACTATTAATGGTATTTGGGCCCTGAAACCTTATTATTTGGGTCCTTGGACCCTTTGGGTTCCATTTCCTTTTTCCGTTCTCCATATATACCTTACCAGGTCCCTAA